TAAAATATAAAAATATATGGACAAGTTCACAAAACAAAAATGAATACCTTGTTAATAATAATCACAAAAACAACATCTGGTGAAACAGATGAGCATCATGTGCATAAGCTAAGCTTATCAGCACATCTATTCCCCAGAGCAATAATGTTTACGGATGATACAATGACTATATGAGGTAATCAAAGACATGTCCTAATTTAAAGCTTGGCTTTGCAAGTAGATAATTTAATGTTGACCATGTCTGCCATCCTGCTTTCTGCATTTCTCTTCTTGTATTGCTGTGTGGTGCTGTGATTATTTCATGGGGAAATCAGGAATAGAGTGATTGCTGGATCGTACCTCCCAAAGATTTCAATTTATTTATTTAGTCTGAGGTAGAACCTAGGCATCAGTGGTTTTAGAAAGCCAATTCTAAGGCTGGGCAACATGGCAAAACCTTGTCACTACAAAAAACCCACAAAAATTAGCCAGGCATGGTGGCGTGCACCTGTAATTGCAGCTACTTGGGAGGCTGAAGTGGGAGAATTGTTTGAGCCAGGGAGGTGGAGGCTGCAGTGAGCTGAGATTGTACCACAGCACTCCAGCTTGAGCAACAGAGTGAGACCCTGTCTCAAAAACAACAAACAAAGCCAATTCTAGTGTTATAGCCAGAGTTGAGAACTACAGGTATTGAAAATGAATACAGGCGAGACAGATCGGAATTCTAGACTTAGTTCTATTGATTTGTAGGTGGGTTATGCTGGATCTATGTATTTATTTATTGATAAAACTGATAAGTACCTATCTCACAAGGCCATTTTAGGGAATAAAGACAGTAATATTTGAATGTAAAAATGGAAAGAAAACCAGAGGTGTGGAGGCCAAAATGACCAAGGGCAACATATAATCATTACCAGAGAGAACTTGGCACATGGATGTATTTTCAAAGAAGCCGTAAGTTTACCTTTGTAATTGAAGCAGTTGGTTTTGACTTTTGTACCTATCTTTCAACTCATATAGAAATGAGGTTTTGTGCTTACTAAAGTCTTTAGGATTGGGATTGCTCTGCTGTACTTGGGTTATCTGCAGGAATGGGCACATTGCAGAGGAAGAGTCTCATAAATTTTGAATCTGGTTCTAATATATGTTTTCTCTAACATTTTTAAAAAGCAGAAAAAAAAAACCCTTAGCCATTAAAAAACATTTTTCAGAGAAATTATCTGCATCCTGCTGAGAATTTTATGCCAAACGGCAGCCCCCACACAAGCTTTGGAGAGCCAAGCTATTTAAACCTGTAAAGGAAAACGCCAGCTCAGCCCTTACACTGGTTTGATGTAATCCTTTAACCACAGGATGGTTTCTAGCCTTGAATTGACAATGACTCAGTAGATCTTGTATACATTTTAAGAATGTTTTTAAGTAGGTAGGATTATAAAAATAGAAGTACAACATTATTATCAACAAAACATTCAACACATTGAACACAGTTTCTTGAATATGTTTCAAGAACATTTATGAAGAAGCCAGATTGAAAAGTAAAGTCTGGATTATTATAGAATTTTTAAAAGAAGGACAGCTAACTACTTAAAGTATCTAAAATAGTTTACTAGAGGTTATCAGTCACTTTTTAAAATCAAAGGGGGGTGGTTCTTTAGGAGGTTAAAAAATTAATTTGCACAAACACTAATTGACATAACAATTATATATAATTTGTGTGTTTAAAGATACTTTTTTTGTTGTTAAGAGATGGGGTCTCACTCTGTTGCCTAGGCTGGAGGTGCGGCGGCACAATCACAGCCCGCTGCTGCCTCGGCTTCCTGGGCTTAGGTGATCCCACCTCAGCCTCCTGAGTACCTGGGACCACGCTTCTATGCCTGGGTTAAAGATACATTTTTAAAAGACTTGTTTATTTTAGTAATTTGAAGATGTTTCCAAGGTTAACATGAACTTTAGCCTAGTTAGCACCTCTGGGAATTATTTTTAAAAAGCAAAATGTGTCTAAATGAGATTTGACTTTAATTTAAAACTAATTTAATGTATTAGTTAACCATTTATTTTACTTTCAACTACTATCTAGTTTCTACTCCAAAATCAGTAAATCTATACAGATTAAATTAAAAGCATTTTCAAGTCAGGAAAAGATAACTATTTCAAACTTTTGAGTTCATATGTTTTTATTGCTATATGAATAGAACTGAATAGAAATAATTCTAGAATTAGCTATAGATTTATGTTATGTATGTATCTTGTCTAGTTCATAGTGAATACATCATAGACAACCTTAGTTGTGTTTTACTGAATTAGAAAATCTGTAATAGTAATTGTCAACGTTTTCATACTAAACATAAATAATTGAAATACTGTCTGTTAATCTAAGGATTTTGACTTCTTGAAGAGAGCTTTAAGTCCATTTCTTTAGTTTTATTAGTGTTTTTTGGACTTTTAAATTTATAAGTATTAAATTTGAGATAAAAATTTTTGTGCTATTTTGCAACATGCCCTGTTAAATTTTTCTTTGTCAAGGAAACAATGCATTTTAAAATGTTTATAACATTTAGAATAAAGGACTAAGGAAGTTTTGAAAACTGATAAAATTTTAAGCCAGATTAAACAATTAAGATTAATTGCATACCTTCTTTAACTTTTAGCATCATGTCATGGCTATAAATTTGTAACTAGCCATTTTAGAAATCCAATCATAATTCTTAGGTATCATTTTCAGAAATGAAAACAACAAAATTAATTACAACTGTAGAATTCCCTTATTTGAAAAGCTTTCTATTTTGGAGTAGTGTATAATGAATCCCCATGGATCACATTTCAATAATTGCCACGCCATAATCTTGTTTCATCTATACTCCTATTCACTTACTCCCTAGCATCGTAGTTTGAAGGAAACCCCACATATTATGACATTTCATCTGTAAATATTTCAGTATAATACTCAAAAAGATAAATCTTTTAAAAAGCATAACCAAAATATCATTATCTTATCTGAACAAATTGACAGTAATTCCCTAGCGTCATCAAATAACCAGTCACTGTTCAAATTTCTAATTGTTTGAATTAAGATCTATGCATTGCGATTAATTGTTATATCAAGTCTTTTTTAACTTACTGGTTTTCTCCATCTTTTTTTTTTCCCTTTTTTGCAATTTATAGCTGCAGAAACAGGGCCATTTGTCCTAGAAAATTACCACAGACTAGACTGTGCTGATTGTATCTCTGTGATATAGTTTAACATGTTCCTTTGTTCCTCTGCAGTTCGTATAAATTGATAGTTGGATCTATGTCCCAAATTTCTTGCACCTTAAATTACTTGGTACATAGTCACAAACCAAAAGTAACCCTGGTTTCCCCTACCATCCTGGTTTCTAAATTTTGTGAAATAGCTGAAATAAGGACTATGTGCTTTATTTTATACATGACGTATAGAGGCATCTTTAGATTTTATTTAGATAATTGTGTATAATGCTTGACTGAAGATTAGAATTTGCAATGACATTAGTTATAGCAAAATGAGACAAATATGTGTATAGCAAGTAGAAAAGAACTATCAAAAGCAACAAGGATTGTAAAGGTACAGTATCCTGGTGTCATTTATTTTAAGGACAGGTAGCCTATTCACCTAAAACGTCCCTAATTATATCACTCTTTTTAAAAAGTGGCTATTTGTTCTTACAAGAATGACCCTTGTTCATCAAGTAAGGTGAATTATACTAAATATGCTTTATTTTGAACAATAACAGGAGCAACTAGAGAGTTAACAGTTTAGTTTAGCACTTGAAGGATTAAGGAACTACACGTTGTAGTTGAAAAATATGGTGATCTGGTTAATCTGTCACCCCTGTATATGATATATTTAATGTGTGCATATTAATGTTAGGTGTCATATATAAAAATTACAGAAATTCTTCTGTATTGAGAATAGTGGGGAAATAAGGTATACTGATAAATTCAATATTCAGACTCATAAAAATATACTATATAAGCTATATATGGACCACCAGTTCTTTTAAAATAATTGATTTTTAAAATAAAATACCCCTCACACTAAAAGTAGAACATAATTTGATCTTTATTTTTGATTGATTGGAAGCATTTAAGAGACTTTATAGCATCAGAATTATTATTAACCTTAATTATCATTATATTGTAGCAGTATAGCAGAGTTGATTAATGCAGAGTTCCAAAGTAATGTTTGTTACCGGAGGATTTTCACTGGATTAAGAAAGCCTGGATGGTAGTCACAAAGAATCACATAAAGAGACAGGAATCACTATGGATGCATATATATGTGTGGCTGCATACATAGACTTGTATTTACTCATGTGCACAGGTGTACATATGATTAAATTTATAATGTATATTGTTAAACACATATACATATATATCAACTTGTGACATGTGCAGCCATTACCAGTACTAAGGAAGCTGCAAATGGAAGGAATTTGATCAAAATTTACCAAGAGGAAATTGGCTCCAAGACATAATGCTTTTGGCTGGAGAAGATAGTGATCCTGGCACAGTATACTCTCTATTTCCTTGTTAGAGCTCCAAGATTAAAAGAATTAGCTACATAGAGGCAGATGCTTGGTAGCTTTCTGGAAGCACAATTATAAGGTTTATGAAAAACAGGAAGATCAACATCACATACAGGTTTTATGAACTGGGAACTGATTTAATGTGCTGTTTTGTATGCCTTAGACCTTGTCTATTGAGCCATAATAATTTCATTTCATTTTTATAACTACTTTTACATTCTTTTTTTTTTTTTTTTTTGAGATGGAGTCTCACTCTGTCGCCCAGGCTGGAGTGCAGTGACCGGATCTCAGCTCACTGCAACCTCTGCCTCCCAGGTTTACACCATTCTCCTGCCTCAGCCTCCCGAGTAGCTGGAACTACAGGCGCCCGCCACCTGGCCCGGCTAGTTTTTTGTATTTTTTAGTAGAGACGGGGTTTCACCGTGTTAGCCAGGATGGTCTTGATCTCCTGACTTCGTGATCCGCCCGTCTCGGCCTCCCAAAGTGCTGGGATTACAGGCTTGTACATTCTTATTTTAAGTGTGATAGCCTTTGGAAAGAAATCATGTCTTAGAATGCTTTTAAGATACTATTTTTCAGATTGTTCAAACTTTGTGATTGATGACTGTAATTAGTCATATTGCATATTGTATTTTCAGAATTGCTCTCCAATTTTCTTTTGTCTACTTCTGCTAATAACCACAGATTAACTTGGCTCCCAGTAGCCAGTATCTTTATTGACCCTGGAAAATGTTTTGGATCTTTAATATACCTAATTTTGTTTATAATGAGTTGAATAGTGGTGATCATTCACTTGAAAAATAGTTTGAGTGCCCACTTTGAATAACCCATAATGTCTAACACAGTATTTGCATAGAGATGAGTAAGATACTGTTCCTGTTCTCCCATACTTTATAATCTCATAGAAGGCGAGTGATATGAAGTAACTATATTACCTAGACATTCAGCGATTTCTTATGAACATTAGTGGGTGCAATGAATAGGAGAGGTTTCTTTTTATCTTTAATTTTCAATGACTGAGAAACTTCAGCTATTCTTTTGCTTACATGACACCAATAAACACCTGATACATCTACCATAAATGAAGAGACCATGAGAGGAAATAAACAGTCTTTTTAGGAGATGCCCCAAAATCTCAATAATCTTATTTGTAGCAGGGGCTACGAACTCAAATGTCTGCAGGAGCCAGTCAAGTGTACCCAGGTAACACAAATGAATGAAAAAGTAGGTATAAAACAGTTGGAATTGGTGAGGATTGTGACCTGCTGAAGTGTGTATGCTTTGTTTAAAGATTTTCAAATAAAAATTTGTGTGGGTCAAAGAAAGCATGTCTGCAGGCTGAGGCGGTCAATTTACAAATGCTCCATAATTCCTTAATCTTAATGAAACCATCACAAAAACATTTGAGAGAAAAGATGATGATTTAAAATTAAACACAAATAAATATGTCCAATTTGAGAATGATCACACCATTGAGTAAACTATTTGGCACTTTTCCCCCTAGGGCACAAATGACATTAAATCAGGGGCGATGGGATCTCAGGGGGAGCCTGGATGATATTACAGATCTAGGCAGATGAAAGGATCAAATTTAGTAAAATTCAGTACTATAGGAGAAGCAGAAATGAGCAAGAGTGATGTTGGCTCTCCATGGTTGAAGATGTTTTTCCCCCCTGCATATGGGCAGCTCTGGATTCCAGGGGTAATCATTGTTAGAAATAGACCAGAGGTCTGGAGACACAATCTGTAACTTCCTGGGAATACATATGGGGCAACTAGTAGAAAGCTCTAGTGAGTGGAGCTTTTAACCATCATTTAGTCAATGGATTATGTGAAGGTCTAGCGAGTTTATATGAAATTATTTGGGCCTTTAATCACAATGAGAAAATTCACTGGAAAAATAATTAAGTGTTCTGGGTTTTGTCTGCTATCTGAATGCCTGAACCTGACTCCAAAATCGTGAAAAGATTATGTAGGACCAAGGAGCAGATCTCACCCCAGGTGTACTTGATCAGTGTATCAGAGGGTTATATCTGATACTCTGTCTTTTTAGGATGCTTCCACAGTTATTCTGATGATAGCCAGTGTGGAAGCTAGGGTAGTAGGTAGGAAAGGTTCATATACTTGTAGGGAAAAATCAGGCTTCCCTGGTTAATGAAGATTGCATATTGACAGCCTTCTATCAAGGGATTTTTTAAAAAGTAAAATACTCTTTATTAATAAAAAGAAACCTAGTCTGTTCGATGATGAGTTAGTTGATGGCAGTAGAAATTGGCAGCTTGGGATGTTACGGTTTTGTTAAGGTTTGTGAAGCACTTCGTTGGAGAGAGTATGTCTTCATGATTATTTATCCTGAGACCCAGGGAAGGCTGTTTGTATGGTACCATTTGAAACAGATGCTTTTATTTAGTTGACTTTGAGAAGCACCACAATTTTGAAAGAACTGGTGAGGAATGGGTTTAGGGGCTAGAGACGGATGGCAGTAGTTTAAGGAAGTGACAGTTGATGAAACAATAATCGTTGTGTATTCCTAAGTTGATAAATGGTTTGAAGGCAGTCACCATGGCTGCCTTCTGGGGACCCATTTTAAGTCTCCTGGAGAGAGGATGTGTACAAAAGATGTAAAGGTTTTGTACAGAGGCACACATTTCCAGTGTGGCATGGAGCCAGCATTCATATGATACCACAGGACAGCTTGTACATGCTGAATATTTCCAGTCAAGTGGAGGAAAGGTAAAAATATCTCCTGTTTAAGGGACCGTGAAGCCAGCGAAGGCCTCCTGTCTAAGCTCAGTGCTAAAGAAGGGCTGGGGTACTGCTCATTGTGTGCATGTCAGTAATCAAAGACACATGTCAGTAATCAAAGGGTCCTTATTTAGTCTGGAACAGTTGTTCATTTTTCTCCTTTACATCCTTTAATGGGACTGTTGGCTTTTTTTATAAGTTTCACTTGATTACCCACTGAATCAAATACCCTATTGGTGTTTGAAAAGCTGTAGGATGGGGAACATCTCAGATACCTGTTTCAGATCCATTTTAACTTGAATTTATTGAGTGAGTTGTAATATACAAAAATATAGTTTCTGTTTTTCCTCATTTCCTTATTATTTATTTTTTCCTTAAGAAAAATCATTATAATCATTGTTGGGTTAGTAAAAATAGATTAATTCTCTATGTAGATTTTTCTGCAGATAAATGTAGGAAGCTACTCAACTTTTGTTTCTGGCAGAAAACCCACACCAAATCCATACTTTTGGTTGAAGTGCTCTTGAATAGCCTGGTAAGAGCTCATGTGCCTCTTCCTCTGATCTTTCCCTTAAAGAGGTAAAATGGTGATAATGGTATTGTGGTGTGTCAGCACTCTTTTATTTTCTTACTTTTCTTTTTTTCCATTTTTTTAAAGTGACAGAAACCTGATTCAAACTGGCTTTAACTATAAAGAGAATTAATTGGCTTAGAGAACTCAACAGTCCAGAATTGAGCATCAGACAAAGCTTGGTCCAGTGGCTGAAATAATGTCATTTAAGGACCTGGTATCTTCCCATTTCTTCTCTTCTCTGCTCTGCCTCCCATTGTGTTAACTTTTAGTCTCCGTATCTGTGCAAGTTCACAAGTCTTTTCCCTTATAAGTAAAAAATTGTTACTCCAATTCAGACTTTATATTATCCTATTATAGGAAGAAAGTAAGCCTTTATTTCTCAGCAGTCCCAGCTGATGTCTTTATTTATCTCATTGGATTTGATTGGTTATGTGTCCAATGGCTGAAGCAAACATTGAACTAAGTGCATAGGCAATGTTGATGGGGTTAGATAGTGAGGACCTATAGAGCTTATAGAGAACTGGAGGTTCTCACTCAAAACTCATGCCTGAGAATGGGGAAGGGAAGTCTCCCCAACAAAATTTGGGTTGATGTTATCAGCAAGAGGGGAATGGATGTTGGACATGAAACAATGGATGTTTACTAAATGTAGGTTTAGGCTAAGGATATTATATGGATCTGGGGATAAGAGATAGAGCTTTTAGGGGGAAGAGTAAAGACATTGAAAGCTCTTTAATATCCCATGTGCTGTGCTTTGTGGATATGCTTTCCTTCAGTTGAGTGTCTATTTTGCTTTGCTTTTTCTTTCTTGCTCTTATAGCTGCTTGTGGCTGTTACAACCTGAAGAGCCTGGGGTAGTCTCCTTTTCATTTGGAGTTTTATCTGCCCATTTACACATGAGTCGTGTTACTAGGACATTGGTGGTTTTAAGACCACTGGCTAGGAAAGCCTGTAACTGGGATTTTCACTAAGAGGAAGAGAGTCTGGCAAATATTGCAGGTCTAAAGTCCAGGGAGCTCAGCTAAGGTGAGGAGAAACAGTTACATAATATAAATCCTTATAGTCCAGGGGCCTAGTCTCGCTAGGGGAGTCATCTAGGGCAGAGGTCCGCAACCAGGTGCCAGAGCCTGCAGATGTTTCTCCAGTTGTAAATAACAACTTGGTTGAAGCTGTTTGCTCTTCTTGTTCCATACCGCCCATTCCTGTGGGTTTCTTTGTGATTATCATAGTCAGAAGGAAAGAAGAATCTACTGTGGGGTCTGGTGCCGTCTGAGACAGGAAAAAAGTTACTATCTTGATTTGGGAGAATGGAAAGGAGTCCCCTATGGCTATAAAATATTCAGTGCCAGCAGAGGGTCACTAAGCTTAAAAGATCTTTCATTGTGATTTAAATAATTTGCTCCAAGTTTAAAATCTTTGGACGGAATTTGGATTCTTAACTTTCTAAGTTTGAAAGATTCCTGAAGACATTTTCTGATGAAAAGTGTAACACTAACAAAGTGTTTGCTTTAACTAAATGATTGCAGTTAATTTCTTGTAAAGAAACACAGAAGCACACATTAACTTAAAATAAGCTCACACTGTTGTTTCTTGTAGTACAGCCAGGAAAAACAGTAACAAGCTGTCTCCTTCAAAATCACATCCCTGGATGATATTCGAGCAACCTGGAAAATTTAAATACATCCCCAGGAAAAACAATTTGAATTAAGTTAGAAATCATATTTGCTAATTCCCTTTCTGCCATTGCCTTTCATTCTCTGGCTCTGAGTAGCATTAATTGAGAAGGTGTGTGGCATCAATAGCTAAGGTAAATGGTGACATTCATTTCAGAGCCACAGCCAACCTAGGGCCACAAAAATAGTTTTAATGTTTAGGATTCATAAATCAAATTTTAGCCTACATTGACATTTTGTCCTAATAATATTAATTCATATATTTTTGAGAAACCACTGGTTTAAAACTTGAGCATTTTGGCCCCAAATAGATTTGATTTTGTATTTAAAAGATATTACCTTACAATTGGGAGGATAAAGACAAAACCTGTGGAAGAAAGAGAGTAGATTTAGTTATTAGTTATTCTAGTACTCTTCACGGTGCTTATATTCAATAATTTTATTGGCCTTAGTTCTTGGCCTTAGTTCTCTAATATGTGTTTTGGAAAATACATTATTTTTATTCTCTAAGTATTTACAGTTAGAAGAATGGCTAATTAAGATTCTTTTCCTTTGGGTATTCTTTTCATTCCTGTCCCATTTGAGGGAGTTTCCAAGACAGAAAGGAATCTGCCTACTTTCTTTCTCTTAATAAATGAAGAAGATTGGATCAAGAGATGTGGTTTAAAATTTCTTTCCTCTCCACTTCTCTCCCACCTTTGTTTCCTCCCATTTATCCATCCCCAATTCTTAAGAAAGAAACACAAGTTGGAAATAAGCTGGGTGATCCTAGAGACTCATTTGAAGTGGAAATTCAAGATGGAGTGGGGCTGCATACTGGTCACTTTCTTTTAAGAGGAACTGAAAGGTAATCTATATAGCGATTTCTGATGGGCAAGAAGGGACATTACAGGCTTTTGAATTTTATCAATGGAGCCATAGGTATCATTTTGGGATACTTTTACATGTTTTAGGTTTAAAGCCTACTTGCCTATGGAGGAAGCTAGACATGTGAAGTATGCCACCTCGAAAGATTCTGACACCCTGGCACAAAATTGAGATGATAAATTTTTGTAAGATTCCACCAGTAGATCATCTCTTGATAGATATTTGAACATGCCCTAGAATTCCTGTTAATTGGAAGTCTGGCTTACCTAGCAACTGAGTGAGGCTGCCTACTGAATGGCGTTTTGAAAAGTTCAGACTTACAATTTCCTATTTTGCTTTTTCTCCATTATGAGTCTTACCAGTCCTATCACAAACTTTTGTGGGAAAGTGGTTTTTCAGCTACAAAGGTATTTGTGCATTTTGCCCAAGACATATGTCGTCCTCAAGAATATATAACTGTCATGTTCTGTATTGACATGAGAATCAGGATCACATTACCACAAGTAGCTAGAAGATTGTATTGATTGTAAGCCAGGGAATGGTCTGATTGATTTTATCCTGCAAGTCAAAAAAAAAAAAAAATATATATATATATATATAGCTGTTTTAGAAGGACAGACAGACACACACACACACACACACACATACACACATACGTGTGCGTACACATGGCTAACAGCAAAGTTGCTTGTTGGTTGAGAAGCAGATCAGAACCTTGGAGAGCTCAAGATAAAGGAGGGGCAGAACCACAATCAGAAGCTTCCATGGCTTCCATGACTGCTCCCCAAAACTCCCAAAAATGGATGAGTTTTTCTGGAGCAACTGCCAGCTCCACTCTGCTTATTGTTAAATCCTACATATGTAGGATTTAAGAAGATAAATCCCTTTTACTCCAAGCATGAGCTGCATATTTGTTGACTAATTTGATAATTTGTGGCTAAAGTCTTAAAAACAAAAACTGAAAGGAAAGAAACAAAGGGACATACTTTTCTTTAGCACGTTTTTGTGAAGATCCTATGCTGTTCCTCCATGGCCATGTTATGATTATGGATTCCACTTAGCAGGGCTTCTGGTATTGAGATGAAAGTCACATATAGGACGGGCGGAGGTAAAGTTAAGATTTCACTGAACTATTCACTGTGTATTGGACTAGATCAATTTTTCCAAAAAAAGATTCTTTTCAAATAACATTTTTGATAAAACTCCAACCAAGCCAAACTAAAACAAAAACTAGAAGAACAGAGATGTTCTCGTTGAAACAGGGTTTGGAAAGTCTGAAGTGCCTTCTGTTCAGACTAATTCTGGCTCCACCAGAAGCCCCTAAACATAGGTCGCAAATCGCCATGTTTTACCGGCGTACATTCAGTTTACTTGTCAGACACAGTTCCTAAGTAAGTGTGAGGACTTATCCTGTGTTTCTAGGAATACTGTTACTAGCCCAAATTAATCCCACAAGTGGCCATTTATTGCTGTCTACTTAGGTATTCATTTGGATGGCAGATATTTGTATTTCTTTCTTTTCTTTTTTTTTTTTTTTTGTCACTCAACTTGTTTATGGTAAGTCTCAGCTTCAATATGAAGCTGTTTTTTTTTTTTTTTAAATCAAAACCCTGCATTTTACATGCTAAATATCTTGGCAAGTAGGTTGTTAAACATAGTAATGAACTTAAGACAGCAAGAGTGAGGAGTTAACAAAAGCTAAACATTGCAGCCTAAACAAAATTCATACAAAAAGTAAACTATCACTGGTTACATAAAATTTTCCTGACTGGTTAAAACTTAGTATAAAATATGCATTTTAGAATCCTTAGCTATCAAGTTCAAAAAGTACCAGTGTCTATTTAAAATAATTCCTTTCCCAAGCCAAAATGTAATCAAAATTATTTCAAATGGCATAACACATTCTAATGCTAAAAAATATTCATGATTATTGAAGTGGAGGTAAATCCCCGAGCTTTGGGACTTTCTCATGCTGCAAATGGCTGTTTCTCTAGTTCACTCAAAGCAGCATATGGCAGCATCCAAGGATGACACTAAGCTCAGTAAAGGGCAAGACTGCTGGTAGCCAGCTTTGACCTCCCCGTGAAGCATGGCTGCTGTGTCCACAATACAGATGTGTGAGGATCAAAGGCACACTATTCTGCTAGCTAAAGAGATAGCAAACCACCCCCTCCAACCTCCTTCCCCAGGTAAATAAAAGTATATAAGGGGAAAAAATTAAAATACACTTATTTACAGAATAAGGGTTTTGAAATATTAATGTAATCCCTCCTTCAAAAATTTTAACTAGAGTCATCTGGTCATTTCTGATCACATCTTAAAGATGTATCCAGATTCAATTTCGGTTGGTTTATCCTTAGACACTTCTAGTCAAAAGTATTGATTTTATTCCCAAATATCTTAACCACTAGTACGACTGCAGTGTATTATCTCCCAGAGTTATCAAGCGCTAGAAGAGAAAAAAATAGATGTTCAAGCAGCAGGCAACATTTATGGCCCTTTCACACAGTGGCATCTGAGTGGCTACTGAATAGTCCAGGAATAATTCTAAAAACAAGAAAATTCATGCATTTTAGTAAATATGTTGTAGTTTTCACAGTTGCAATTTCCTCAGACATTGTGCTTTCTTTATAAGGGAATCCTGATTTTTCTTAATGTTATGGTGAGTCAGGACTTGAACTAGCAGTCTTCTTTTTCTTCTTCTTACTGTATTTCTTATGCTTCTTTTTCTTTCTTTCTTTTTTTTTTTTTCTGTTGCTTTTTCTTGTTCTTCACTGCTTTTCATCTTTTTTGCTCGTACCTCCTCAATATACTCTGATTCTGACAAGGACTCCGATGATAAAGGTTTATCTTCTGAGTATATCTTTCTCTTTTTTCTGAGTCCTTTAAGGTCCTTTTCTTTCTCAGTGGCATCTTTTGACTTCTTTTTCTTTTTAAAACTATCCTTACTGTCTGATTCAGTTTCTGATTTGGACCTTTCAGAAGATTTATGTGAACGGTTCTTCTTTCTCTTTCTCTGTTTTCCTTATCTCTTATCCTTATCTTCAGAATCTGAAGAACTGCTGGAAGAATCAGAGCTTGATGAAGAAGAAGATGAATACCTACCAGATTTCTTCTTTTTTCTTTCTCTGTCGTTTTTTGGATGAGCTCTCACTTCCACTTAACAATTTCCCCCTGTGTTTTTCTAGTTCTTTCTTCCAGTTCTCATTCATTGTATTCAGCCAAAGCCCTGGAGCCTTTCTTTTTCTTTTCTGGTTGCTCTTTTACTTCTTTCCAGGTAGGCCTTGGTCGATTCAGATAATCCTGTATTGTTGGCTCTGAAGACTGGATTGAACCCCTTGATCTTGCCATTGCTGTTGGATGCATATAGGCCACCCATTTGTCCCACTTCCCCATGGTGCTGGGCTGAGCGCACAGTCGCACACCGAGGGAAACCTGGCCAGAGAAACGGCCGAAGTGGGCCCTCCGCAGGTGCATTTCCTTCTAATTAGCTTCTGTGCATCCCAGAATCCACTGTGTTTTAGACTGTAATGAACAACTTCAAACATCATAGCAACAATCTCATAAGACTCTATAGGCTCTGCTTACAAGGGGGAAGAGAATTATTAGAATATTTGAAAATAAAGCCATGGAGGATCACAGAACTACCCTGTTTAATTTTTTTTTTGCCTTACCAATATTTATTTCTATGAGTGTGCTACAGTTTGTAGTAATGAAGGGTACTACTATGATATTCTTTCTTGTGTCCACTTCATTTTGTTCTTAATAGTTGAATCTTCTCAAGAACAAAATCCCAAAATATAATCTGCAAGTTAAAACCATAAGGGACATATATGATTGGCAGTGCTGTGTTACCTTTTTTTGTTTGCCATATGACTATAAATATTTGAACGGTAGTTACATGGAAGAAGGAGTAGACTTGCTTTTCTTAATCCAGCTTCTCTTTCTCCCATCCTCAAATTCATGTTATGTCCACTCGGCTTTTCAAAATTTGTAACTTGTTATATTTGAAGAAATTAGGAAAATATGTTTAAAATGATTTCATTTCAATTGTTTTAGATGATATATTAAAGGAATTATACATACTTAACAAAATGTACAGTATAAGCACTTATTGTTGATAATACTTGGTCCTCTTACAAATAGGTCAATAGCAAATTTATTTTTGTTGTTATCCTTGGTGTTCTCCAGATGGAGTGACATTTAAAAAAATCGTGCTTGTTCAGTTCCAGTTTTGTTAGAAATGTAAAATGTTATTGGTGATATCCTAAGACTTGCCATTTATTTTATTTTTTCTGCATATTCTATATAATTTATTCATGATTATAGACATTAGAAGTTTAAAATTAGAATTTCCCTAATGCACTATTACTTTCTATGTTGTAGAAAGATTTTTTTTCTTTTTTAACAGCATTATTGAGATCTAATTGATATATAACTCATCCATTTGAAGTATAAAATTCAGTTGTTTTTAGTATATCCACAGAGTCGTGCAGTCATCAATTACCATAGTGAATTTAGAACATTTTAATCATTCCCAAAAAGAAACCATGTGCCCATTAGCAGTCCTCATTTCCCCCCAAGTCCCCAGCCCTAGGCAACCACTAATTTACAGTAGATATCCCTGTAGATTTGGCTTTTCTAGACATTTTGTATAAATGGATTCATACAATGTGTGGCCTTTAGGTCTGCCTTCTTGCACAGCTTAATGTTTCAAGGTTGATCCCTGTCATTGCATGAATCAGTATTTCCTTTCTTTTTTTTGTGGAATGATACTCCATTGTATGTATGTACATATTGTATTTATTCATACATTAGTTGATGGACATTTGGGTTGTTTGTACTTTTTATCTATTAGGAATAATGCTACTATGAACATTTGTATACAGATTTTTTTTTTTTAATTTTTAATTTTTGTATTTCAGTAGGTTTTGGGAAACAGGTGGTATTTGGTTATATGATTAAGTTCTTTCGTGATAATTTCTGAGATTTTGGTGCATCCATCACCCCAGCAGTGTACGCTGTGCCCAATGTGTGGTCTTTTATTTCTTGCCACCCTCATCCTTTCCTGAGTCCCCAAAGTCCAATGTGTCATTCTTATACCTTTGTGTCCTCATTCGTATACCTTTGTGTCCTTGTAGCTCTTAGCTCCCACATGTGAGTGAGAGCATACGATGTTTGTTTTTTTATTCCTGAGTTACTTCACTTAGAGTAGTAGTCTCCAATTCCATCCAGATTGCTGTGAATGCCATTTTTTCATTACTTTTTATGGCTGAGCAGTTTTCTTATATATGTGTGTGTGTGTATGTATATATATATGTGTGTGTGTATATATATACACACACACACACCACATTTTCTTTATCCACTTGTTGATTGATATTTGGGCTGGTTCCCCATTTTTGCAATTGCAAATTGTGCTGCTGTAAACATGCATGTGCAAGTATCTTTTTCATATAATGTTTCCTCTGGGTGGATACCTAGTAGTGCGATTGCTGGATCAAAAGGTAGATCTACTTTCAGTTCTTTAAGGAATCTGCACACTGTTTTCCATAGTGGTTGTACTAGTTTACATTCCTACCAACAATGTCAAAGTGTTCCCTTTTCACCACATCCACGCCATCTGTTGGTTTTTGATTTTGGCCATGCTTGCAGGGTGAGGTGGTATTGTATTATGGTTTCGATTTTCATTTCCCTGATAATTAGTGATGTTAGCATTTTTCCAAATGCTTGTTGGCCATTTGTATATCTTCTTCTGAGAATTGTCTGTTCATGTCCTTAGTCTACTTTTTAAAAAATTTTACTTTAAGTTCTGGGATACATGTGCAGGACGTGCAGGTTTGTTACATAGGTATATATGAGCCAGGGTGGTTCACTGCATCTATCAACCCATCATCTAGGTTTTAAGGCGCGCATGCATTATATATTTGTCCTAATGCTCTCCCTTCCCTTACCCCCCAACCCCTGACAGGTCCTGGTGTGTGATGTTCCCCTCCCTGTGTCCATATGTTCTCATTGTTCAACTCCCACTTAATGAGCGTGAGCATGCTGTGTTTGATTTTCTGTTCCTGTTAGCTTTCTGAGAATGATAGCTTCCAGATTCATCCATGTCCCTGAAAAGGACATGAACTCATTCTTTTTTATGACTGCATAGTATTCCATGGTATATATGTGCCATATTTTCTTTATCCAGTCTATCATTGATAGGCATTTGGATTGGTTCCAAGTCTTTGCTATTGTAAATAGTGCTGCAATAAACATAGGTGTGCGTGTGTCTTACTTTTTAGTGAGATTATCTGTTTTTTTCTTGTCGATATGTTTGAGTCCTTTGTAGATTCTGGATATTAGTCGTTTGTCAGATGTATAGATTGTGAAGTTTTTCTCTCACTCTATGGGTTGTCTGTTTACTCTGCTGATAGTTTCTTTTGCTGTGCAGAATCTTTTTAGTTTAATTAAGTCCCATCTGTTTATCTTTGTTTTTGTCTTATTTGCTTTTGGATTCTTGGTCATGAAGTCTTTGCCTAAGCCAGTGTCTAGAAGGGTTTTTCCTGTGTTATCTTATAGAATCTTTATGGTTTCAGGTCTTGGATTTCAGTTTTCATCCATCTTGAGTTGATTTTCATATAAGGTGAGAGCTGAGGATCCAGTTTCATTCTTCTACATGTGGCTTGCCAATTATTTCAGCACCATTTGTTGAATAGGGTGTCCTTTCCTCACTTTATGTTTTTGTTTGCTATGTTGAAGATCAAATGGCTGTAAGTATTTGGCTTTGTTTCTGAGTTCTCTATTCTGTTCCATTGGCCTATGTGCCTATTTTTATACCAGTAACATGCTGTTTTGGTGACTATGGCCTTATAGTATAGTTTGAAGTTGGGTAATGTGATGCCTCCAAATTTGTTTTTTGCTTAGTAAGACTTTGCATTTAGATGAATGCAACACAAAAGAGTTTTGGCTAAGGAAGGCACAATAAACTGCTTCAACTGTGACCACTACACTTTGGCATGTTGCATTTGCTTTCTGGAAACGTTCCACGAGGCTCAGAATTTAAGAAATAGTAAATTCAAAGTTACTTGAAGCATATGTATTTAGGGCTAAATGATGCAAGATTTGTTTTCCAGAAGGTTATGGCACTGGCTAACTTTTTTAGTTGTTTAGAAAAGACAATTGGAGTCTGACCTTATAAAATGTAAAAATGACAAATGGAATTTCTTAAACTTTGGGATTGAAAAACAGTTTGAAATGAAATATGTGAAGTGTGAAATAAAATATATGAAGTATGCTATTATGTTTTCGTAAAAGTTATATTTCCATTATGAAAGTATGTTCATGTCTTATGTATACATACATCCATATACATGTATATACACTCAGAAAATTTGGAAAATACGGAAAAACAGGAAAAAGAAAAAAACTCTTTTAAATAGCTTCCAACTGTGGATTTCAGTTATTAACATTTCTCCCAATAAATTTTCCATGTATAGATGGTTTTTGCTATGGAAGGTTGGGAGAGGATGGGGATAGCCAAGTTGTAATCATAATGTGTATGCAGATTTATGTCTCTCCTCATTTAATATTGTAACAAAAGTATTTTCTGTGCTATTGCAGTTGTTTCTGTGCTATTGTAATTGTTTATACAATTATATATAATACTATTACATTTAATTATATATAATTGTATAAATTGTTTATACAGTTATATGTAATACTATTATATATAATTATATATAATTGTATAAACCTACTGTAATAGTATAGAAACATAGTTGCAGATTATTTATTTGAATTACATTAACAGTTTTTAAAACAATTCTTATTATCAGGTGTCTAGATTGTTTGCAGTTTCATAATATTACAAATGACTCTATGTGTATTTCTATCTATAAAGTTCCCCCCCCTTTATTTTTAGTTATTTGCAGATTAGCTAGATTCCCAGAAATAAGATTTCTAGGGGCATTGAGAATAAACATTTCTAAGACTCTCTCTCTCTCTGTCTCTCTCTCTCACACACACACACACACATGCATATAGTTAAACTACTTGTATGAGTTTACAATTCTATGTGTAAAAAGGTCCATGAAATTATATCTTCACCAACATTGGCTGTTTGCTGAAAAAAAGAACTTGGCTAATTTAAGATATAAACATTGTTTCTCATAATTTTTGCTCTACTTTCTTCTCTTGTGGGAAATGCTGGGTGAGGGACAGGCCAAATCAGAGGGTCCCATGGGAGCCAGAAACAATTTGTGGAGCTGAAGCACTATCAGGATAATAAGTTGAAAGGAAGACACTGATCTGAGGGAAGCATGTACCATGGAAGCAGTGTTTGGAGCTTCAGAGAGTGGGAGAGGCAGCATAGAGTGGCAGAGCCATGGGTCATGTGGAGGAACTTAGGGAGGGTCAGACACTGGTGTCATGTGCAGGCCCTGTGTGGGGGAAAGTATCTTCTGGAGGGAGAGGATCTCATAATATAGTCTGGAGGGAGACTTAATATTGTTCTTTACATTCTTTTATGCCACTTTAAAAATATTTGTTTTACTGTATACATATATTACTTTTCAATGAAAAGTTAGTTTATTAAAAAGGAGAAGTGAGGAAAATTATACTTCTTTAACTACTAGTGGGCTTGCATACTTTTCATATATTGTCAGTCTCTTTTAATTTCCTTTTATTTTACTGATATGCTAGAGAGTTGGGCAAAATTTTGTAGTAAGATTTTTTTAGATAATTTTCTTGTTATATTTCTAATGTATTCCTGTACCTTATCTTTTTATTAGTTGAACATTTTTATCATAAGATTAATTTAATTAAAGAATTTCCCCCCCCCCGGAAAATTTTTTTCCCTCCCTTATTAAGCAGAGATGGTTCCAAGTCTCATTTCTTCATTTGCTTAGTTTCCTCCTTTATCTCCCCAAAGACATGGACGGACTACATTGTTTCTTAATGTTTTCCATTCATAGGTATCCTCACACATGTCTAAATTTGTGGCACTGTGGCCGAAAAACTATGGGTTTTAATAAGTGGAACCGGAATTGAGGGTGAGCTAGGCCTTGAAACTACTATTGCTCACTGTCTTTCTGAAGAAGGAAGCTCTGATAAGGAGGAACTCTGAGGATTGGTTGGGCTTGTTCAAGACTGCGGGGCCATTGATATGGGAGCCCATAGGTAGGTGGTGGAATGTATTTACGAGAGAGAAATGTGGAAAGGTCAAGGGTCAGATGAACTGGGAGCACTCCTCCTGTCAGGTGGCCTGGACAGGGGAGCCAAAGTATCCAAAATTACCACTATGCATGAGTTCGCTCATGACCACAGAGAGGCAAGTGCTAGTTTGTTGGCTCAGAACTGATATTTTAGTTAACTGATTGGAGGAAGAGTAGGAAGATTTACATTCTACACAGTCTCAATTATTGTTTACACTTGAATGTGAGCAGTTATTTAATCTCTCTAGTTAACTAGTCTTTAAAAAGAATTGGTGCGATACCTTCCCTAAACTGTTTCATAGGTGTTTTAGTGAGAATGATGAAGTTTCTATTTTAAAATAGTAGTGAATTTTCTTTTGCTTTTGTTTATTGTCTTTGACTATGTTTTATCACTTTCTCTGAATGCATTTTTCATTCCTCATTTTTGAATCCTTTTATTGTATGCTCTTTTCTCTGTTAATATGTGATGTGCCCTGTGCCTACTCTTTGTGGCCATCCCCATTTTAGATTTCTTCCTTCAAGCATTACCAAAAAGAAGTAGAAGAACTTTGTGAATAGAGAGAGAGACACTTATTTTTCTCTTTTTCATAGACGCCTGCTAATTTATGCCTCCTCCTCTTTCCCTGAAGGACCTTTGGGCATTTTTCTCTATCTCATACTTGAGAGAATGGAAAGCTCCAATGCCTTGTATTGCTAGATCTGTTTTTAAAATATGCCCTATTCTTAGGGAGTAACTAAAACTTTATATATCTTCTGTTTTCTCCCCTTCTAGGCAAAGTGGTTCAAACCGCAAATTACCTAACAAGTAAAAGTGGTCATATAGCAATACTAGAGGAATTTTTATCTTGTTTAGTATAGCTAAACCATCCTTGATGGGAGTGTTTTCCAGTGAGTTTGCCTTGAATGGCTAAGGAGATCAACAAAGAAATTATGTTTTAATGGAAGGAGACTGGTTAGTATGTCTTTAACACTTCGTTTGAATCACTTGAAATGAATTCAAGTTGGTAAGGTATGTTGCCAACTTATATGTTTTCATAATTTTTCAAAACTGTTTGGATATAGGTCTGTAACTTGCCAAATAACTAAGGAGAAATGACAGAATTTAAAAAATATAAATCAAGACAACTAAAGCTTTTTCTTTTTGCTCTAGTAGGGAGCGAGGACTGATAAGGAATACTTGACCAAGAAATGGAATATTGTATTTTATTCTTGCTTATAAATGTTTAGCAGTGCTCTCTGAAGGAAATGCATAGCAAGCTATGTTAAGATCATTTTAAGTTCTACACAATGCTGTTATATCCTATTGATGCTTTGAATTTAGTCTTAAACAGCTCAGAAGGAGTCTGGCTATTGAGGTCAACAGATTTGCCAGGGAAAACTTTGTACTTTACTTATCAAATCACTTTCATATCAAGATACCCCTCTTATTCACTGTACGATACTGAAGCTCTTACCTTTTCCTCTGTTCATTGTCTTTATTTGAACATCCTAAGACCTGTTTTTCCTATAAATGAAAGAACACTTACTGATTTCCCCATTGTCATTTAGTTCCTATAAATCAACCCACTCAGTAGAGCGAAGTAATTCCTTTAAAAAATGCATTCCTTTACTTTTTATTTGTTTTCTTTTGATAGAAGCTATGCTTGGTTTGTCCTTAGGACAATATAAAGTAGTGTTCTCAAAGTGTGGTCTGCAGACCTCTGGGGTCCCTGAGACCATTTCAAGGGTCTGCAAAGTCAAAACTGTTTTCATAATCATATTAAGATATTATGACTTCTTTTCTACAGTGTTAATATTTGCATTTACATTGCAGAAGCAGTGGTGTGCAAAACTGATGACTTGGCATTAACCACACCAGACATCAAGCTATACTCATAGTTATTTTATTCTCTTTTGTCACACATACTCAGTTAAAAAAACAACAACAGTTCACTTAAGAATGTCTTTGAGGAAGTAATAAAAAATATGAATTTTATAAAGTCATGACCCTTGAGTACACACGCTTTCAATATTCTGTGCGACAAAATGAGAGTACACATGGAAGACTACTGCATACCTAAGTATGTTGTCTCAAGGAAAATCATGAGTGTGATTGAGTTCCAAGCTGAACTAGCTGCTTTTTTCTTGGAACCATCCTTTTTTACTTGGAGGAGTGACTGATGGATGAACTGTGGTTATTCAGATTTGCGCATTTGGCAGACATTTTCCCATGTCTCTATTTTATGCCTATCTTTTTCAGGCCTAACCGTCACCATTGTGCTTATATTTCTGTGAGGCTCTAGTGTTTACAGAGCGTTTATTTATATCTGGTATTACAGATACAGATGGTCTGTGGATCTGAGTTGAATTACTTTAGCATATAATGCTGAATTTAGGTAGAGATCGAAAAAAATTAAAATTATAAAAGAATAAGAAACAAATTAAGTCTTCCAGGGCTAAAATTATGGTCTTCTAGGATATTTAGGTTTCTTGTTTTGTTACTACCCGGCTTTACACTTCACTGTTTCTGCCTATTCATGATGGAATTCCTCCTCAATTTTTCTGCAAGGATTTTTTTAGAAGGCAGGAGAAATTGCCAATATCAAAAGATTTCTCTAACTTCATCTCTGGGTATATGGCTAACTAGGAGTAGTCTGTTCCTCTTAGATTTCTATTACTCTTTTCTTCTACATTGATGTGTGAATGTGATACTGGATTTGTATGAAATTTCAGTTTTAACTGGTCTTTTATTTGTTATGGCTTTTACAGAATCTTGCCTCCTGGAATCCTTCAAATCCTGAATGTCTCTTACTTGTGGTGAAGGAACTTGTGCAACAGTATCACCAATTCCAATGCAGCCGCCTCCGGGAGAGCTCCCGCCTCATGTTTGAATACCAGACATTACTGGAAGAGCCACAGTATGGAGAGAACATGGAAATTTATGCTGGGAAAAAAAACAACTGGGTAAGAATTTTTGAGAATGGGAAAAAAGATGACTTCATCTATAATAAAATAATCAATTCAGATGTTCATTTGAAAATCCTAGTCATTTCTTTAAATAACCATGGTCTAGGTAGTCTATATGTTTCTCATAATTTAGAGTTTAAAGAGACCTTAATGTTTGTCTAGTTCATTGTGTTTCTTAAAGATATTACCTGGGAAGTTTGTAAGATTCAGAGTCTCATCCCCAACCCCAGATATTCAGCAGTCAGAGGTGGAGCCTGAGGGCCTGCACGTGCTACCAGTCTCCATGTCATTCTGATGTATGTGGCTTGCAGGTCACATTTTGAGACACTAACAAGTTTCCCCGTCCTTTGAATGGAAGACTTCTCCAATATCCCAGTCAGGTAAGAGAGGTCAGTAACTCTGGAATCTGCTAGCTTACATGGTGCCTTTTATATTTTCTTTTTGTAACTTAAACGATTATATGATCTTTTAAAAATTCAAGTCAGACCTTATTGCTCCTCTTCCCAGAACCTTATGTACTTCTCTTTTTTCTCTCATAGTAAAAGCCAAGTCCTTCCAGTGGTATAAAAAACTCTATATGGAGAAATGCAAATCAAAATCACAATGAGATACCGTCTCATGCCAGTTAGAATGGCGATCATTAAAAAGTCAGGAAACAACAGATACTGAAGAGGATATGGAGAAATAGGAATGCTTTTACACTGTTGATGGGAGTGTAAATTAGTTCAACCATTGTGGAAGACAACGTGGTGATTCCTCAAGGATCTAGAACCAGAAATACCTTTTGACCCAGCAATTCCATTACTGGGTATATATCCAAAGGATTATAAATCATTCTGCTATAAAGACACATGCACACGTATGTTTATTGCAGCACTATTCACAATAGCAAAGACTTGGAACCAACCCAAATGCCCATCAGTGATAGACTGGATAAAGAAAATGTGGCACATATACACCATGGAATACCATACAGCCATAAAAAGGATGAGTTCATGTCCCTTGCAGGGACATGGATGAAGCTGGAAACCATGATTCTCAGCAAACTAACACAGGAACAGAAAACCATACATGGCATGCTCTCACTGATAAGTGGGAGTTGAACAGTGAGAACACATGGACACAGGGAGAGGAACATCACACACCGATGCCTGTTGGTGGGAGGAGGCTATGGGAGGGATAGCATTAGGAGACATACCTGATACAGATGACAGGTTGATGGGTGCAGCAAACCACCGTGGCATGTGTATACCTATGTAACAAACCTGCACATTCTTCACATGTATCCCAGAACTTAAATTATATATATATGTAATTTATATTTATATATGTTGTATACATATAAATTATATATAATATACAAATTATATATATAAAAAACAGACCAAAAAAAAAGAAAAAAACAAAACTATATGATTCCCATCACTACCATCTTCCATCCATCATTAATTTTGTCTGTTCATCTCCGACCTTTCTCTTTCAAATTCAACTCCAGCCACACTAGCACCCTGCTGTGCAGCAAGCACACCAGATATTCTCTTGCCCAAGGGTCTTTGCATAGGCTCTCTGTTGTCAGGGATGTTTCCCCCAGATATGCACATGGCTAATACTCTTCTTCCTTCAAACTTCTACTAATGTTATGTTCTCAATGATGCCCTGTTAACACCCCCAGCAGCCGTTTTGAGGTATAATTTACATATCATAAATTTACCTGTTTTAAGTGTACAGTTAAATGATTTTTAATAAGTTGGCTGATTTGAGCAACCACCACCATTATCCAGTTTTAGAATGGTTCCATCACCCCAGTGAGATCCCTCATGTCCCTTGCAGTTAATCTTGTTCCCACCTCCAGCCCTAGTCAGTCACTAAACTACTTTCTGTTTCTATAAGTTTTCTTTTCTGAACATTTCTTATGATGGAATCATACAGTATGTGGTTTTTGTGACTGAATTCTTTCACTTAGCATATGTTTGAGGTTCATCCATGTTGTAGCATGTATCAGTACTTCATTTCTTTTTGTGGCTGAATAATACTCCATTGAATAGACATACCACGTTTTGTTTATCCATTTACCAATTAATGGACACTTGGGTTGTTTCCACTTTTTGACTTTTATGAATACTGCTGTAAGCAATCATGTGTAAGTATTGGTAATACCCCTTTTAAACATTGTGACTTGCACCCGTACCCTCTCCTCTATTTTTTACTTTGCTCCATGTGGCTTTTTTGCATTTCCTTTTGGCATGCCATATAATTAATGTATTAGTTATATGTTGCTATGTAAAATAATCATTCCAAAACTTAGTGGCTTCAAACAATAACATTTATTATCATAGTTTTTGGCAGCAATCTGGGTAGGCCCTTTGCCTCAGGGTTTCTCACAGGCTATGCTTGAAGTGTTGGCTAGGGCTGTGGTCATCTCAAGGCTCGACTGGAGATGGAGTCATTATAAATGCATGTGTGTGGTAGTTGGCATAGTTCAGTTCCTCATGGGTCGTCGAACTGAGGGCCTGAGTTCAGGGCTGGCTGTTGTCTGGAGGCCGCCTTCAACTGCTTGCCTCTCTACAGGGCAGTGCACAAGATTCAGAGCAAGCAAGTAGGGGAGAGCAAGAGGGAGTGTGTGAGCAAGATAGAAGTCACAATCTTTTATAACCTAATCTTGAAAGTGACAGCCCATCACTTTTGCTGTATTCTATTTGTTAGGTCCAATACCCCACCCTCCCAACACACCTACACACCCCACACACATACCTACACACACACACACACACACACAGAATTACATAGGAGTATGAATACCAGAGACCACTGGGAGCCACTTAGAGGAAGCCTACCATACTTATTGATTATGTTTATTGTGTGTCTGTCCTCATTGAAATATAAAATCTCATGAGGGCAGGGATCATTGTTCACTAGCAAATCACAAACACCTGGAACAGTGTCTTCCACTTCATTGGTATTCCATAAACGTTTTTGAATGAATGAATGAATAAACTCTCATTAAGCACAGAATAACTTTAGGTGCTCTTCTGTGCTAATTCTTTTAGGTTTCACTGTCTTTCTTAGGCTAAATAACACTCCCATTTTTATTCTTCAGCTTTTTCTTTTACTTTTTTGGAGACAGAGTCTCACTCTGTGGCCCAGGCTGGAGTGCAGTGGCGCAATCTCGGCTCATTGCAACCTCCGCCTCCTGGGTTCAACAATTCTCCTGTCTCAGCCTCCTGAGTAGCTGGGACTACAAGCGCATGCCACCACACCCGGCTAATTTTTGTAGTTTTAGTAGAGACGGAGTTTCACTGTGTTGGTCAGGTTGGTCTTGAATTCCTGACCTCAGGTGATCCACCCGCCTTGGCTCCCCAAAGTGCTGGGATTATAGACGTGAGCCACGGTGCCCGGCCTCTTCGACTTTTTCTTAAAGGTTTTGATTTTAAGGTTTTACACGTGATTAATGCCTTCAAATCAGCATGACTAAAATTTTTGTTATTACAAATCATGTTGTTTGTTCAGTTCAAGGTTTTTTTCCTTTTGTAAAGTCTTGAATTTATATTTCAGTAAAAGACACATAACACTACATTTGCCATCTTTACTATTTTTAAGTGTACAGTTCAGTAGTGTTAAATATATTCACATTGCTGTGCAACAGATCTCTAGAACTTTTTCATCTTGCAAATGAACCCATTAAACACTAATTCCTCCTCCCCCCAGCACTTGGCAGGCACTTTACTATTTTCTGTTTCTATGGTTTTGACTCCTTTAGATACTTCATATGGGTAGACTCGTATATTTGATTTTTGTGACTGCTTATTTCACTTAGCATAATGTCTGAGGTTCGTCAATGTTGTAGCATGTGATAGGAATTCCTTCCTTTTTAAGGCTGTGTAGTATTCAATTGAGCGTATTTACCGTATTTTACTTATCCATTCATCCATCAGTGAACATTTGGGTTGCTTCTACCTCTTGGCTATTGTGAATAATGCTACATTGAACATAGGTGTGCAACTATCTCTTTGAGATTTTGCTTTGAGTTCTTTGGGATATATACCTACAAGTAGGATTGCTAGGTTTTATACAATCCCATTTTTAATTGTTTGAGGAATTTCCATACTGTTTCTTTAACAGCTGCACTATTTTACATTCCCACCAACAGTGCATGGTTCAAGATGCAAACTATTGATTATTTTGAAACATAATATGTTTATATGGCTAATAAGGAAAACTTTGTTGAACTTAGTTTATCCTCTATCCCCAGCATTTTCCTATTAAATAATTGACTTAATTGTCCTTACATAAATGGATGTTAGGTTAATTTGGCATGAGTTCTTGGTGAACATGTGTTGTCTTTAGTGCTGACAGGCTCATCTGAAAGCAGGAATCACTGTCAAACTAACCAGTCTTTAGTTTTTAGGATTTGCCTTTGTGTCTCATTCCCCCTTTTTAATATTAATGTGAATTTGAATATAATCCAGTTGTATGGCACCCTTTGTTACCTAATAATTTTCAAAATGTTATTCAGTGACTCAGCTAATACTTGAGGTGTAGTTCATCTAGGTGTAGAAGTTTGAATTCATTTCAGCAGATAGTTTGTTTTTATAGTATTTTTAAACTTTCTGTTTAATGTTACCGATACTCCTTTCTTTACTTACAAAACCTACTACTGCTACACTTATCTCAGTTTATTTTGATTTGATATTAAGTAGTTTGTAAACATTAGGGCAATGGTTATGGATTCAGGTGAAGTAAAGAAACTGAGAATCCTATAACAAGGCAAAGTAGACCGAGGTTAAGCTTATGGCAGACCAGGCCTAGGAAAGGCCTAGTAGAAATGGTAGCTGAGACTATAGAAGTAAAATTATGAGTTGGAATCGGGGAGTAGGTCAAGAAACAGGGTATAAAAGTGAGTCTTGAGGGATGAACAAATTAGAGCTTGGCATGAGGGTTCAGGAGTATTAAAGGACAGCCCGCTAATGGAGGAAAAATCTAGACCAAGAGTCTAGAGA